TGGCAGATAATAAATGAGCTTAGGGGCAAAAGAAAGAAAACAACCAAACCACCTTTTATCATCAATAATGAAAGAATCTTGAACCGGAGAGCAATTGCCAATGGTTTTAATTCCTGGTTCGTATCAATTGCTCCCAAGCTCAATGAAACTATCACAACTGACTTGTCTTCTGGTATTCCAATTCTCCCCATGAAAACATTCCATGACTTCCTTAGCCCTAGTAACTCTCGATCTATTATGTTAGAGGACAGCACTCCTGAGGAGGTTCTAAGAATAATCAAAGAATTCGAGAATGGAAAGGCCAGTGATATTCCCATAACCGTTATTAAAACTTCGTCCCACGTTATTGCACCAATTATCAGCAGATACTTAAACAAACTTATGTCAAATGGTATATTCCCTGATATACTTAAGACTGGCAGAATCACACCCGTATTCAAAAAAGGTAATCCAGAAGAAATAGAAAACTACCGTCCTATATCCACCTTGTCCATATTTGGCAAAATATTTGAGAAAATCATATATTCTAGGATTTATTCGTTTGTCAGCTCTCAGGGAATAATATCTAAGACTCAGTTTGGTTTCAGGCAATCGCACTCAACCTCCCATGCAGTAAACTACTCTGTTGACCTCATATCTAAGCACATCAAATTGAAGCACCATGTGTTAGGCATATTCATCGACCTCAGCAAAGCTTTCGATACTATAGATCACTCAACATTACTTACCAAACTAGAAAGGTATGGCATCCGTGGCGTGGCAAACGATCTGATCAAGAGCTACCTAACTAATCGATTCCAGTACACTGATGTTGTAGGAGAAAAGTCCGACCTACTTCCAATAAAATTTGGGGTTCCCCAGGGGTCAATTCTCGGACCCCTTTTATTCCTACTTTACATAAATGATATCTCTAATAGCTCTAGCTTGGGATCGTTTGTCACCTTTGCGGATGACACCAACATATTTGTTGTTGGTAAAACTGCACAAGAAGCATATGAACGCAGCAACGCCCTACTTTCAAACCTTCAAACATACATGCGGGCTAACAAGCTTCACATAAACATGTCAAAATGCTGCTACATTCACTTTAGACCTAAGTCACGTACTGAAGCAAACGTTGAAGAAGAATTCATAATGAATATAGACAACTACCCCATCAAAAGAGTAACGTCAGCTAGATTTTTAGGAGTCGTCATTGACGAAAATCTAACATGGGAAGAACATATAATAGCCCTAAAACGAAAGCTTAACCATGCCACCTCAACTCTGTGTCGTCTACGCTGCTCCCTCCCAGAATTTCTCCACAGACAGTTATACTACACTCTTTTTGAATCCCATCTGTCGTACTGCATATCAGCATGGGGTGGGGCAGCTAAAAATCGTATAAGCTCAATATTCACTGCACAGAAGTACTGTCTGAGGGTCTTGTTTGGTGATAGAGCAGCCTACCTGGATAAATTCAAAACGTGTGTTCGAACCAGACCATTTACTGACCAGAAACTTGATAGTAAATTTTATAAAAAGGAGCACACTAAACCTCTGTTTAAAAACAACGAGATACTCACTGTACAAAATCTTTATACTTACCATAGCTACATAGAATTATTCAAGATCATGAAGTTTTCTACTCCTATGTCTATGTACGAAGAGTATTCTCGTTCTTCCAGGAAACCAATGCTTATTATCAATAAACCGGATCCCCCAGACAACCATAACACGAGGTCAACGAAAATATGGAATATAATAACCCCTAACCTTAAAATCTTTGATTGTTCTGTTAGTATTTCTTGCCTGAAATCCAAACTGAAATCTTCACTACTTTCCAACCAGCATTGTCATGCCGTGTATGACTGGACAAATAAAGACTTTGATATATGTAACCTTAAATTTTCGTAGGCTCCTGCAGGGATTCCACCTGACCTCCAAAATTTCATGACCAAATCGACTTACTCTGCCAGCGTATTCCTCTGTCAAGTTAAATGTGATGTGTGAGTGAGTAAGTGTAGTGTAAAGATATCCTATTTTTGTATCCAATTTGAATTCTAATAAAGACCCTAAGCATTATGATCAAATTTTTAGTACAATAGTTATATCAGGGTTGACATCTATGATTAATATTATAACCCAATATTCATTTCTTTTTCTCCCTTAAATTTAAACCCCTCTTAGACATTTAGCCATGATTTAGTATTGAACACCCAAAATACTTACCGTCCTTAACAATCGTAAAGACCATTTGTTACAAAATAGCTGCTAGAATAATGCATGCCAAATATTCCCTCTTACACCCACAAATTATAATGCCTTCCTATCAACGCCTCTAATTTGGTCACTAATCAACCAGACTAGCGTTCTGGTGTGTACAAAAGCTACCAGCCAGTACATTCCTTGCCCCGCTAGTTGATTGTCAAAAAATCATACAGCTCAGAACAAACGGCCATTTACCACTAAGAGCATTATATGTTTTCATTTGTTTAAATTTTATGTAAAATGTGCTAAAACTTTGATTATTTGTTTAATTGATTATTTGTTTAATTGAAGCAAATATTCTGCGCGTTACGTTTTGAGCGCCATGCATAGAAAATTACATTTGAACGTTTGGTCTGTTTACACTATAATATAATATGTAATAAGTAAACAATTGTGTTATACACAGTACCGTAGGTTTTACAACGCAATGCCGTATAATTTACTGTCATTCCACTTGCATCATTCCACCACACAGAAGGAGCAAAGTGCAAAGAAACTGCCACAAACTGCTACAAACTGCTACTAACTGCTACAAACTGGCACTAACTGCCACAAAATGCTACTAACTGCTACAAACTGGCACTAACTGCCACAAACTGCTACTAACTGCTGCAATCGCGCCCACACATTCGCGCGCCGTTTGCAGCAGTTTGTAGCGGTCAGTGCCAGTTTGTAGCAGTTAGTGCCAGTTTGTAGCAGTTTGTAGCAGTTTGTAGCAGTTTGTGGCAGTTTCTTTGCACTTTGCTCCTCCTGTGACTATATCTTCAATTGTGTATATAAACACAAAATCCTTATATGCAATACGGTCAAGGCCCCAGAAATGCTGCGCTTAAGTTATTGGGTGACGCTCAGCCTGTCATTCCGCCGCAGCTTCTATCGGTGTGTTTATGAACATTATCAGTCTGGGATCCCCAGGTAACGCTTAAGTTGCAACCAATACACAATAGTTAATATACCTGGGAACCTCAAGCTTTTGTGTCCATAAACACGATAGAAGTTATGGCGGAATGACAGGAGTGCAGGTTTTATCCTTAAGTCCTTACTGCTTACACTTCTTACTTATTTATACTTCACAGATTTGCCACATTACTTACTTCGTTACTTCGTTGAGTTCATCCGTGGAGCCGGAAGGGTCATCAGATATCTGACCACCTGGATGGCGAGTAGTCGACCAGTGAGTTGCACACAAGGATGAAAAAGATTTAGATATTCATTTTGTTTCCCGTTATTACTGACATAATTGGTTCCCTCAATTCTTCCTTATATTAACTACAGGAACCTAGGGGCTCCAGCAGACAAGTGCCTTATTTGCCCGTAAGAGCCTCTACTATTAACTACAGATTATATTATTTCAGTTAGTATCGACTTGAATGTTACGATTGCAGTTTATTTTTCTATTATATTGTACTCAATAAACCGGTTTCAAAGCCCTTAAGGGTGGCCTCGGGTCTTTAAAACAAATACTGATACTTCATTCGAAACATTCAACACTTTTAGAAATCACATCTTTCGTAATCCTCCTAATTCAATTTTAAAGCTTAACTTAAAACTTAACTGTCACAGAGTTCGGAGGGAGTTTGTTCCAGTGAGGATTAACTCGCTCCGGAAGAACTACATCCGTTGCTTGAAACAAAATTAGGACCGGGTCTGCTTATTCTATTCTTAACATACCCGATCCACAATCAGTCATACCACAAGTTACTTTAAAAGTTCCTATAAGGTCACCACTTATTCGCTGCTCTGCCAGCATTGTTAAGCGTTCGTACCTCAAAGTGTAGGGCCTGTCGTGATAACATGGATCACTTAGGTTCCACCAGGATCTGGTAGTCCTCATAATTCTGCGGCCTCTATGCATCGTCATCTTGCACAACTCCTTAAGAAAAATAGGTGCTGGGCATGTGAAAATTTGCAGCCTTCCAGACATTGATTGAGTTAACGAGGTGTCGTACATCACCTCAAGATCAGGTACGTGTAGCTAGTGGTCCCCTGAACTCGTATATGAATTTTCATCCAGATTGGACAAAAATGACTGAGTTATGAGCCAAAAACCATATGCTCATATTTGGGCATACACACCAAATTTCGGCCAAAATCTAAAATTTTTGGCCCATAAATTGGTAAAATATCAATATTTTTGTATGAAACCAACTTTATATAAAAGGTAAGCATAAACTATACATTCTCTGAGATATATAGCTTAATATTTATAGAAATGTAGAAACTAAGGCCAAAAGACCACTAAAAAAATTGGCCATATCTCAGTTCGCAATTTTCGAAGTCACTTAGAAAGTAAGTGACTTCACCAAAAAGCCTAAGGCTTTTTCATTTTTCAAAATTTTCCCATTTAAAATTTGGTGGCCCTGTTTTTCTTGTCCTCAGTTGTGTCAGAATTGTAAAGAGCAAAATACTTATAATTATTTATGATATGTTTGATTTCTTGTTATTGTTTGTCATGCAAATTTGGTAGACGGCCCCAACGTTAATGTGCCTCTTGCTATGTGTTGGTTCAGCCGAACTAATTATTATAATATAATAAAATTTATTTTTCTTGTTTAGTTAGTTGTCATTCGGCCACACATTAAGCAACTTATATTGCAGTCCCATAATATATCAATTAGTATATCAAAATATGTCATTGTAATTTTGCATGGCTGAAATGTAACGCTTGATTTATTTTCAAATAAAAAATAAAATAGTTTTGGGAACTGAATTTGTTGCGAAGACAATAACTAAACAAATATCACAGGGTGATGTCTGAGTTTGACAATGTTGACAAGACAAGGCTTGAGAAATTAGCCAATGACATGTACCAAGAAATGGAAAAAGGTCTTTCAGGGAAACAATCAAGCCTGCTTATGCTTCCGACCTATATACATACCTTGCCAAATGGTAGCGAGTCTGGAAACTTTTTGGCATTAGGTATGTCGATAACCCTAGGGTGTACTCTATTTGAGCCTTGCACAATCTGCAAAGCGTCTAGATCTTGACCAAATCGATGGCAAAAATTCAAGTTTCGGGAGCTAGCCACCTCCTTTTAGATTGAACATTTTCGCTCAGTTTCGTGACCTTGAAGTAAAAAACAAGAGCCGAATTAAATATTCTGCTTGACACGGGTCATGTAGGAATCGATTGGTTAGGACTGTGTGAAGTCCCCCAAAAAGGCGATTACCTGCTCGGATTAATCTGTGCGGCGCTGCATAATCATGCAAAGCCAGCGATGTTAAATTTGCCAAAAAGTGCAGATATCAAAATTATTTCGGTTCATGTAGAACTAGAGTCCAGTGAGATCAAGTCGATCAGCTGCCTTCGTCCTTCGATCTATAAAGCCAAGCGTTTTATATTTCAGTTCGATCAGGAATTGGGTATATTCACATTATTAATATTTATCTAATATTTTGAATTAAACTTTAAATTAATTTGGCGCCACAGTTACTCACTGCGTACACATTTCTTCCCCTAAGGTCAATTTATAATAGCAAACATAATATATGCTTTTTAAGATGATTGAAGTTTAGTTTGACAATTGTAATAATTCATTGACATGGATTATAGATCACAATCAAGACCTATAATTCTAACACTGAAAGGTTTTCAGCCTTTTAAAGCACGATAGTCTGAATATGATCTCAACAACCCAGCTGCCTAGTTTTAAAGAGAGACCTACAACTTTTGCAAGTTTCCAAATTAATGCCAGCTGAACTATAATTCTCTGCAGATTTCGGTGGGTCAACTTTTCGAGTCATACTTGTGAAATTGATACCAAACAGTAGTCCTGTTATAAAATCAACGACAGTTTGCATGGAGAGTAGAATGAAAACTGTGGGAGGGGAAGAACTCTTTGAGCACTTGGCAGATTGTGTGGCAAGCTTCATGAAGAAGGTCAGTACCTACATTCAGTACCTACATTTACACATGTAGCTGTAGGTCTTCTTTAAATATTACCACCTTAACCTTAACACGCTATTGGTTATATTTAAAAATTTCATCACAATTCCGTACTCTAGGAAAGTTTGGAAAACACCGAAATTCCTCTTGGGTTTACTTTTTCCTTCCCAATGCAACAATCTTCATTGTGCTATGGTACATTAGTTCGATGGACAAAAGGCTTTTCGAACTCAGACGTGGTGGATAAAAATGTAGCAGAACTTTTAAACAAAGCTTTGGCTAATAATGAGGTTTGTACTTCTTACATAATATGAAACTTGTAAAATCAACTTCCCTCACTCTGTCTTCATAACCTTACCTATATTTCTACACCTACAAAATACGTGTCCAAAATGGCTAAAATATCAACAATTTATATTTTACAATAACATCAATATTGTCAGGTCACCAAGAAAGTTAAGGTTGTAGCTTTAGCCAACGACACTGCAGGAACACTAGTGTCTGGATGTTCTAAATACGCTAACTGTCATTCAGGATTGATTTTGGGAACTGGTACTAACGCTGCCTACACTGAGAAAGTGTCCAATGTTCCGAATATCAAGTCTTCTGAGGAGATGGTTGGTCAGTTAAAGTTAGCTGTTACAATTAGCTGTTAATTAGCTGTTACAATTAGCTGTTTATTAGCTGTTAATTAGCTGTTAATTAGCTGTTAATTAGCTGTTAATTAGCTGTTAATTAGCTGTTAATTAGCTGTTAATTAGCTGTTAATTAGCTGTTAATTAGCTGTTAATTAGCTGTTAATTAGCTGTTAATTAGCTGTTAATTAGCTGTTAATTAGCTGTTACAATATTCAATATTCACCCGTTTTAACAATTTTGTCTTGTTTCATTTGGAATGAACTTGATTGATGTATATAATTTCTCTAAACAAATAAGTCCAACTCTTGTCCAATTGATAAGGTAGTAATTAACATGGAGTGGGGAAACTTTGGTGAGCTGGGCCACCTTGCTGATCTACAAACTGACTACGACAAACAGCTTGATGCTTCCAGTGTTAACGCTGGCAAGCAACTGTAAGTATCACAACCATTGCTTCTTTCTTCTAGAGTATATTATATATATATTATATAATAATAATATTATATGCATGTATTATCATAATTATAATTCGAAAGATTCTTTTTGTCTGTACGACCGCCCACGTGCAAATTAGATGAGAAATAGGAAGTTGCATGGTAACCATGGTAACGGTGTTGGAACGTGCACGTGCACGTGCAAAGATTTGCGAGCGACATTTTGATCGGTTTTGACGTAATTGCGTTGTATTTGTATTGTGTTTAGTGCGAACTATATTTTGATCGGCTGTATCTTCGGTTGTGACGGATATTTTTTGAAGCGATAAAAACTTACTATCAAAGGATACTATTACCTTCCTCCCTGTGACCACGGGCTTGCTAGTATAACTATATAACTATGTTTTCCCTATCTCTAAGATGACCCACACTTACAGGTATGAGAAGATGATTAGTGGCATGTATCTCGGGGAACTGACAAGACTAGCACTACTGAAACGAACTCTACATAAAAACTGCATCTTCGCCAGGAACATCCCAGATATGCTTCACAAGGAAGACTCACTCGACGGATCAACTGTCAGTGATTGTATTAAGTGAGTTTAACAGTTCAGTTTAAATAGTCGAATGGCTTGGTGCCAAGACTATGAGTCCAACTTATTTGCACTGAGCAGACAGAAATTCCAAACCTTGTATTTTATTTTACATCCTTCGCTCTCCTGAGTGGATTGCTGGGGCAAAAGTCTACGATCACTATAAAGCAAAATACATCTTGTATTGTCGACGTTTTTGCCTTTAAAATCTAAGAGGAAACCTAGTATTTAACAGTCCAATGTGCCCAGTTCTGAAGAAGAGTGTCGTGCCGTGTTCCCTACAGCGAGTCCTGCAGATATTGCTGTGGTGCGACAAGTTTGTAATGCTGTTAGTAACAGGGCTGCTAAACTTGCTGCAGCAGGTAAGTTATATGTAGTATATTGACAAATCACAATTATTGTCCGTAATCATTAAATCCTTGTTAACAAACTGCATCATTCACACAATATGTTACATGACATCAATATTACTTACATTATCCACAATTTTATGTTTGCATATTATTGTTGTCACCGGTTGCGTGGAAGATAGATACTCGAAGTGAAAATCAGTATGATGGTAAAATCGGAATAATCGGAATAATGAACAAAGTAAGATCGCAGAACCTTGACCCTTACGCTAAACCTACATGTTTCGGAGAGGTCTAAGTTTATAATTAAAACAAGGTAGTTAACCGTTGTTTAACTATCCTCTCTACGAACTAGTGGTTTTAACTGTCCTCTTTACGGACTAGTGGTTTAACCCGTAAATATCAAGAGATATTTGGTCCTCGTGGAAGGTTCTAGAAGAATCAGGAGAGAGCTAGGAACTAGCTCGATTCAATCTATAACAGATCCCTACGGACACAGAAAAAGATTTTATTGGTAGATAAAATCTTTACGGGGTTTTTATTATATATGTCTCAAAGGACTAAAATACTTTGATGTAGGGATATGTCACAAAGGACTTACTCCCACCTGCTGTTGGCGGTCCACCATAGCAAGGTGGAAATATTGTTCAAGTTAACTACGGTCAGCAAATCCGTGTCCTCTTTGACCTTATTCAGTTCATGAAGTGGTCCTTTGAACCTGAGCTTTATGGCCAATCTTATGGCCGAACTAGTGGTTTTAACTGTCCTCTTTACGGACTAGTGGTTTAACCCGTAAATATCAAGAGATATTTGGTCCTCGTGGAAGGTTCTAGAAGAATCAGGAGAGAGCTAGGAACTAGCTCGATTCAATCTATAACAGATCCCTACGGACACAGAAAAAGATTTTATTGGTAGATAAAATCTTTACGGGGTTTTTATTATACGTCCACAATTTTGAAAAACAAGCTATGGGTCTTGTCACAAATATCTCACATATTACTGAGTGGAGTTGGGTTAAAAACATATAAGAGATACGATGATTTAACTTGTAGAAGCTTTCAATAAACATGTGTTAATCGTCGTCAGCTGAATGTGATGTGGTGGACAATGCTTATATGTGATTGAGTGGTGTCAGGGATGGAGGGTGGGGGAGGTGTGGGTGGGAAAGTGAAAATTACAGTACAAAGTCAATAAAAATTTTAGTCTTCTGTTGAGGTTGAGAAGGAAATGCCAGATGGTCTGGACTTTAAGGATTTGGCAATTTTAGGAAGAGTGGGGTCCCAGAGGGAACTACATTTGGGTGCGCGGTCTGTTCTGTTCATAGCTGGTTGTCGTATTTGTATAGCTGCGTGTTCTGTGAGGTCAAGTTGGGAGCGTGAGGTGAGGGATTTGAGGACTTCGATGTTGTTCCAGGAGATGGTGTGGCCGGTGGTCAGGGCATGATGTGCAGGGGCTGATTTGATTCTGTCTGTGGATTCGTCGATGGCGTTGTTGAGTCTGTAACATCGTTCGTGTTCTTTCATGCGGTGGACCAAGGGTCTGTAGGTCTGTCCGGCGTATTTGGAGGGGCACTGTGAGCAGGAAATTTCGTAGATGGTGTTGGGAGTGAGGTGAGTAGGGGGTGTGGTCTTCGTTTTGGTGAGGAGGTTGCGGAGGGAGGTAGCAGAGGAGTGGGTGACTTTGATGTCGTGTTGTCCGAGTATCTTGGAGATGGGTTTGGATAGGGAGGGATGGAAAGGAAGAGAAACACTAAGGGCATGTTCACGGGTCTGTCGGTTGAATGAGGCTAGGGATTGGTGGCGAGAGGGGTTGGTGAATTTCCGTTGTACTTCGTCCATGATGGTGGTGATGCGGTGAGGAGGGAAGCCGTTCTGGAGGCAAACGTGTCGTACTGTCTGGAGTTCGTCGTCAAGGTGTTGGGGTGAGCAGATGTTGTGGGCTCTTCTGGTCAGTGATCGGATGACTGCGTTCTTAGATGAGTTGGTGGTGCAGGAGGAGTACTTGGTGTAGAGGTTGGTGTGGGTGGGTTTTCTGTAGACTGATGTGGATTTGTCAGGGTGGATGAGAACGTCAAGGAAGGGTATAGTTCCGTCTGTAGAGGGATGTTCTTGGGTAAAGTTGAGGTCTTCAGTAAGGGAGTTAAGGAATGTAAGGAAGGATTCTGCGTGGTTTCTGTCTCTGAAAGATCCAAGGCCGTCGTCAACGAAATGGGAGTAAGTGTTCGGAGGGTCAGGACATGAGGATAAAGCTAAGGTCTCGATTTCAGCAAGGCGGATTTCAGCTAGTTCAACAATGAGGGGGGATCCCATTGTACCACCTTCGTCTTGGGAGTAGAAGGAGCCGTTGAATTCAAGGTATGAGTTGTCAAGGCAAAAGTTGATAAGGGAGCCTATGGTGGTGGTGGTGACATTGGAGGGAAGACGAGAGGGGTTCTGTTCAAAGGAGGAGATGACAGTTTTGAGGGCTAGGCGCATGTCACAGGAGGTGTACAAGGATTGGACGTCTAAGGAGGCGTGGTAGTGGAAGGAGGGATTGAGAGAGGAGTCGAAGCGATGTTTGAAGTCGGAAGAGTCTTTGAGGCGTAAGGGGTTCTGGGCTAGGGGTTTGAAAATATATATTGAAAATCAAATGTTAACACGAATTCACAGATTCAATTCTTCTCCATATTCTATTAAAAATAATTTACACGAATTGTTCGTTGGTTTTCAAGGAAATTTTATTTTCTCCAGTCTGTTATTTCATTTATTAAAAAACTATAGTTTTCGGATTGTCCATTTAGAAGTATTTCAATGAGCCGTTGTTGGCGTGAGCTGATGTTCATCAACTAGGATCGTGTCTATTCTTGTTAGTTAAGCTTTAGTACGACGGTTGATCCAGAAGGTAAGTCTTTCACCCAACTATTGTCAACTTAGATCTTCAAGGTCTTTGGGGTGATGTGGGCTCTATTAGTGTCTTCTAAGGACTAAGTAAGGTAAATGCAGGAGAAATTTTCAGGGCTTCATGAGAGCGGAAGTGACGTTTAGGACTTCGGTGGAGAAGAAGTAATGTGCAGGGCTTCAATAGAGCAGGAGTCACGTTTAGGACTTCAGTAGAGAAGAAGTAATGTGTAGGGCTTCAATAGCTAGCAGGAGTGACGTTTAGGACTTCAGTAGAGAAGAAGTAATGTGCAGGGCTTCAATAGAGCGGTAGTAACATGTGGGTAAGGGTCCATAGAAGAAGGGTATAATCAACATAGATTTTGTGGAATTCCCAATTATGATCTAATATGATCGACACCTCAATTATATTTTGATTTATGATTCTTACAATCGTATGTTGTTTTTGGTTTTTATTTTCCAAGAAATGAATAGACGCATTTTTGATAACTGCACCAAGGTAGTAAAATTAATAGTGATATATTACAAAAGTAACAGTGTTATATCATAATATGGGCAATTTCATGAAACATGAACAAGGAGGGGAAAAAATAAATTTCAGTTATGAAACTAGCTTTGATTGGAGTCTGAAAGAGAAGATCATAAACTGTAAGACACAAAAAACCGCTTATAAATATCTCACTTCGTTTCTGTGTTATCGCGTTTTCAAAAGACCCATAAATTGTCATGTTTTACAGGCCAAAACTACTCTATAATAAAAGCTGTTTACTTAAAAGAGATTGTTGTAATATTCATTAATTCTTGATCTGTAAAGGTGCATACCACTTCACTGAAGCTGTATGCAAAATTTGGGACTCAAAATTTAAGCAGAGTCGGAGCAATGCTATTCTACTTTCTCCTGTTTTTAGTGTAAACTACTTTACATAAAAAACAAAAAAGTTTTCTGCTGGCCACATTTCATGTTATTTCTTGCTGAAATCTTGCTAAAACAAGCTAACTCTGATGTCAAGACATAATGTACTTGTTTATTTAGATCCATAGATATCAGATCATGTCAATACCAGCGTCAAGTAAGTTACATGTCAAGTAATTTACGTGTCAAGTAATTTACACATATGCTTTTTATTCAGTAATAGTAGTAAAACACAACAAGTAACGATTGTCAAACAGAATAAAAGTTATTTAAAAGTGATAATAGATTGGTTCTGGTCAGAATTTCATTAAAGAAATCTATAAAAATGGTTAAAAATGGTTAAAAATTGACTTTTCGAAAATAATACTTTACTTTACAGAAAATCCAGTGGCCTGCTTGAACACAAATTTTTGAGCTGGGAAACATTCGTACATTTACGCCCACCTACCTACTCTGTATAACTGGGCTAACTGTGGACCCAATCAGTGGATCAATCAACCAATTAAGGGGGCCGGGGGGTCTTCATCAAAATTCCCTCGAAATTGACTTTTTAGTTGTTTCTAATAGAAGGGAGTGATATCTATCAGATGCTTTTGGTCCCAAGGAAAAATATTATTCCTAGCCAAAATTATTGTCGGTCAAAGGTCAGCACTTATGCGTAATTGTATTGCGCAAGCGATTTTCAATCACGTGTCCTGAAAATCGAGTCTAAAAATCTATCATCTCCTACATTTTTTGAGCAATCACCCTGAAACTTTCAGGATATGTTCTAGAGATAATTTAAAAGAGATGAGCCAGACAGAATTTTGAGATAGGCCTTTAAACATATCTTATTCGATTTTGAAAATCTTGGACCTCGTTTTTTGACGATTTTTTGAGGTCCAAGATTTTCAAAAATTGAAAATCGTTCGCGCAATACAATTACACATAAGCGCTGACATTTGACCGATCATAATTTCGTCTAGGAACAATATTTTTCCATGGGACCAAAAGCATCTGATAGATATCACTCCCCTCTATTAGAAACAACTATAAAGTCAATTTCGAGAAAATTTTGATGAAGGCCCCCCCGGCCCCCTTAATTGGCTTATGATAAACTGATATATCATTATTAATCATATATTACATAGTTCATACACTTAGCAAACGAATTAAAGACAAAGGGGCAGCTTTAAACAGTTAAAATCAAAGGATTGTGTAACAGTGTAAACTACTTGACACAAAAGAGTAACTTACTTTACAAGGAACAAAGGCTTCTACAGAACACAGCTATTAACCATTTACCAAAACAAACCCTTTCCAGTACAGGCAAGACATTTGCCAGTGTGCATGAAAAATATTTAAATGTTTACTCTCACACCTGGGCACGAAATGAGATTTCAATACACGTTGGTCAGGAATGTCAATTTGTGCCCTGTAATTTACTTTACATTTTCAAACGTGCCTCACTCAAAAGCCATAGTAGTTGGAGTAAAAAATCTTAATATAGCTGTGTGTGGAGTACATAGGAGATGTTTCATGCAATTTATCATGATTCTGTTATGTTTGTGTAATGCTTGAGAGTCAGAATAAGGCCACATTTTTGTGCAAAGTGTAATTTACTTTACGTGAAATGGCCCATATATAGAATATATGTCTCAAAGGACTAAAATACTTTGATGTAGGGATATGTCACAAAGGACTTACTCCCACCTGCTGTTGGCGGTCCACCATAGCAAGGTGGAAATATTGTTCAAGTTAACTACGGTCAGCAAATCCGTGTCCTCTTTGACCTTATTCAGTTCATGAAGTGGTCCTTTGAACCTGAGCTTTATGGCCAATCTTATGGCCTCCTTGTGTATTTTGAATTTTCCCCCCCGAAAGAGGGGTCTATACACAACGTCGTTCCTATTATCAACCAGGAATTGTATTATTCCCTGTATGGTTTCTCGCATTAACCTCTCTATCTTCTCTATGACCGCTTCTATGGTCTCAGTCCTTTCCAGTAGTTTTTTGGGGTTCCAGATCCCCAGGGGATCTTTTCTGATCTCGTTCTGGTCCGCTATGGACGCGAATGCGTGGACAGGGATGTATGGGGTTTTCCGCCACAGCATGGCGAGAGGGTGATACCCCGGTTTAAAGAAGTTTGAAGGCGGGGTTTGTGCCCAGGGGCACATGCCGGCCCATATGGCCTCGTGCTTCCGTAGCCTCGCTTGCTCAGGGGCACCTGGTTGAATCATATGATTAGTTGTTTGTTTATCAGAGATCGCTTCCATCAGTTTTGAAGCTTTCTGTGATTGAGTATGACCATGATATTTAGCTAAATCGTTCAAAGGTCTTTTCTTACCACTTTTGTTAGCTGGCAGCAAGGCCTGACTTGTCACGTTCGCTGACACCAAGGTCTCTCCGTTTGCGGGGCTATCTCCGTCTGCGGGGCTATCAGTATCCATTACGGTGACGCTCTCTAGTGTCTCTATGAGCTCCTTCTCTGCTGCTCCTTCTGTCTCTGCTGCTGGTCCTGTCACTGCTGCCTCTTCTGTTGTCGCTTCCTCTTCTATCGTTGCGGTCTCTACGTTCGTTACTGCCTGGGGTCCGGGCTCTTCAGTCTCTGGAAAAATACTTTTTGTTACGAACGGGGGAAATAGTCATTCATTAGATTGACCTTGTAATATATTGTAATTGTAATATCCTGCTGCAAGCCATTTATACTTAATTAATATGGCGGTGTGAGTATGCCAGAAAGTGATTTAAACTAGTTGTATAAATATAAAATAGAAAGTTTAACTGGCTAAAGTACTAAAACTAGCAGAGTATCATGATTAAAAGAAGTCTCGATAATAATGATCACAACTGATTAATCGGTTTAAAAGGTACCCGAGTGCACATGGGCACACCTAAAATTATTTCCGAGAAATAGTATCATACGACTTCGTTGCTAGTTTAGAAACTCACACATCTGCAGAATTACAGTAATTAAGTACTCACTTCCTTTTTTTGTTGTACTTTTTATTGACCGTCACGTGGTCATGAGGATAATCAAACCTATCAATAGGCAGATTTCTAGTAGCCCTTGGGTTATTCCTCGCTAACCTCTCATATATAGAAGCTTCATTTGAGCTCGTAGGGTCTACTTCCGTGCTAGTTATGCCGGTCAATGGGATAGTGTTATCGGGCGAATGATGGCCTGGTTGACTCACTGCAGTACCAGGTTCTGGGGCAATATGTTGTCCCGTGCCAGTCGATATATCTATCTCATTTTGAATCTGTACGAAATGATTCAGGATAGGAGCTTGATCTAGAACGATCACGAAGATTTTTTTTATCTCTGGACCGAGATCTCGAATGGTCCCTGCTATTATCAGAATCAATATGACTCACTGATCTTGATCTAGATCTAGAACTGTAACGATTCATTGATCTATTTCTCGATCTATTCCTTGCTCTATGGCCTGACGGACCTGCTGATCTACTCACGCTGCTATTATGGATATTTTTAATTTATGTATCATCCGAATTATTTTTGTTATCTTCAATGAAGAAAGCCTCGAGAGATTTGGCACTACTTACTGCCTTGTCATATGTTAAGTCTCTGACAATTTCTATTTTTATGGCAATGTTTCTAAGGCCTTGTATGAAAGCTTCTAATTTATGACTTGTAAGGTCAGATGGAGAAAAATTTAGATTCTGGGCTATGATACCAAGTCTATAATTATAATCGTCAATGGATTCATGGCTCTTTTGCTTTAGATTATATAATTTTGCAAGAGCATTTGCATTGCTTACGACCGGATTTATGGCATTCTTAAAAGCATCGCATAATTTAGCCGCATCGGCTTTATCATCATCATCCAATTCTACGGATTTCAAAGATGCGTGTGTTCTATTTTTGACCAAGGATAGAAATATCATGTCTAGGTTTTTCTTTAACTCATTTATGGTTACGTATTCTGTGAACCGATCGCAAAACTGATGAAAGTTATCGCCGTAGACAAACTGGCGGGGTCTACCTATGATTGAAATACGACTCATCTGGTCTGTAACAGTTTGAATCTTACCTGTCGACAAGGGCATATCTTTCGGTGGCTTCGTGTCGTCCATGTTTTATACTCGTCGCCGTTTTATCCTCGTCGCCAATCTGTTGTCACCGGTTGCGTGGAAGATAGATACTCGAAGTGAAAGTCAGTATGATGGTAAAATCGGAATAATCGGAATAATGAACAAAGTAAGATCGCAGAACCTTGACCCTTACGCTAAACCTACCTGTTTCGGAGAGGTCTAAGTTTATAATTAAAACAAGGTAGTTAACCGTTGTTTAACTATCCTCTCTACGAACTAGTGGTTTTAACTGTCCTCTTTACGGACTAGTGGTTTAACCCGTAAATATCTAGAGATATTTGGTCCTTGTGGAAGGTTCTAGAAGAATCAGGAGAGAGCTAGGAACTAGCTCGATTCAATCTATAACATTATGCATTAATTTTTTCCACTTCTAAAGTTAAACTGACCCCGTAATAAAAACAAATTACCCAGGTGTCTACGCTATCTGGCTGAAACGTGAGAAAGTACCGTTTACCGTAGCAGTGGACGGGTCAGTCTTCCTAAAACACGCTACGTTTGCTAATGTAATGAGGTCAACTCTCCAGGAGTTGAACTGCACTGTTAATCTGGAAGTTGCCACTGATGGCTCTGGACTTGGGTCGGCTCTTATTGCTGCCATCGCTTAGTAATTCTTATGTTAGATAGTGGGAGGTGAATAATAGTGGGAGGTGATAAGGAGTTGGAATTACCGGATTACGCCACATTGCGGCACTAGATTTATTAGAGTCAATTTATAATTTGATTTATATTAATATTGTAAATAATGGGTGCACCTAAAATGTTAGGAATTGTTTAAACATGTTAGGAATTGTTTTTATTGACTTTTACACAGGATTTTACTTACGTTTTGACTTACGTATCATCCGATACGTAAAAATGGAGCATCATAGTACTTTTATACAATAAGAGTTTGTACCTGATTTGTGAAACGTAATATGGATATTTAACATCGTTCAGTCGAGGGAATATTATATAATATTACTTACTTACTTGATAACGTCTCCTCAATCATTCGAGTGGCCTGCACCAAGGAATTGACGCTTATGTCGTATCATCTCTCTCCAGTGCTTTCGGTTTCCTGCCAACTCTCGGACCTTATCATTATATTACTGTGGTAAAAATGTTTTAAGTTGACACATAGTTCTACCGAGTTCTAGAACATTCTAGAAAAGTAAGGTTCTAGAAAAGTAAAATTCCAGAAAGCCCAGAAAGGTACGGTCCTAGCAACAAATTTTCTTTTTGTATCATAATAGCTTAAATTATAAGAGTTTGTGTTCTATAAATTTATAAATGACTTAATCAAGGAAACGGTATTAGAGTGGTTTAATTGGTGGCCTGCTGCTTTTAAAAGTAGCAGTTTGATCTGAATTATAGATTATAGATTATAGATTATAGATTTTATTTCATCACGAGACTTTGCTCCTCGGCCTGAATGAGTGGCTTCTCTGCAGGTGCTTTATAGGAAGTTCAACTGGAGTACAATATTCCGTTTCGATACGTTATTAAGTTTGAGTGTGTTTCTCTCCATCGGTACACGTACTCAAGTTCGACACGTTAGCTAGACCGCTGGTTGCTAGATTTCAGAAAATTGTTTTATCTGCCATTGAACCCTGTGATCCTATGATGAGGACCCGGCAATAGCCGTTGGATTACAAGCAGAAACTATTTGTCGAACTAGAGTACGCTGCCTGGACTCTAGTTCGACACGTACCGAAGTTCGACAGGGGTGATATCTGGCGAACTATAGTGCGTGTCGAACTAGAGTACGTGAATCCTTTCCATCCTCACTCCGGTAATGTTTCATAATTTTGTTTTAGGTATGTTCTTCTGTCACTTGAGATTTTACAAACACATCTTGATTGCTTGATAATGTTTTGCAGGCTGAGCAGGTTTATACTTTTGCACCATTTTAAGGCATCATGTAGCCGGTGGGCCCGACATGATACGACATATCTCGACACGTCGGGGTTTGTCGGGTTTGTCGGGGTTTGTCGGGGTTTGTCAGGGTTTGTCGGGGTTTGTCGGGGTTTGTCGAGCCTGGAGGCTTTTTTTGGACGGAGTCATCAAGCTTTACGTGGAAAAACACTACACAAGAAGGCCTCATGTAGCCGGTGGGCCTGAGGCAAAACCCCTCGACAAACCCTGGCAAACGGGGTTTGTCGGGATATGTCGGGGTTTGTCGGGGTGTGTCGGGGTTTGTCGGGGTTTGTCGAGCCTGGAGGCTACATGATGCCTATTTTAGCTACGACAGCGGAATCCCGACCGAAGGCTGGGTTACTCTAGTATTATATAAATTAAATTCCTTTTCTGAAGGAACACTTTTTACTCTTTCATATGTTTTTGACATATTTAAATCTACACCAAGGATATCAAACATTTATTATCCTGTGATCAGAAATTTAACTTTAAGTATTAAATGCTAGAGGAACTATCAAACAATGCATAGTTACCATGACAACTACACTAGTTACCATGACAACTACACTACATGGAGCTAGAGGAACTATCAAACAATGCATGAATAATTGAATGTGTAGCTGTTTAAATATTGAAATCCATGCGATATGAAACATAATTTATCTGATTAAAATTAAATGACCCGATTAATTTGCACGTTTATGTTTATTGTTTATAAAATGAGATAATAATAAGTGTTTATATCATTCAAATAATTTACAAATTTCATTGAACAATTTTACTGTTTTGACTAAATTCATACTGACATGTGCTCATCTAAAAATTTAAAATATCACAAGAAGATTACGTATCATTAATTTTCATTATGAGATATAATAGGGAATAATAGAATGATTCGATGAAAATTAATTGAATAGGGACGGTGAAACTCTGAACCAAATTAATACCGGCACAATAATGTATCAAATAAAGTGGATTAATCACAACTAATTTAGAAGATTTTGTTTAAACTCAGTATCTATCAATATTTTCTTCCCTCAATTCATAGCCCCCAATAGAATGTTGCGCTTCCCAAAAGTGCACCACAGAAAGTATAAAAAAGAAGATGAAACTGAGAGAGATTGGGTAGACTCCCACTTTAAATACACTCCCCGATACCAGATGCTGGGGAACCCCTCCTCCGACCCAGCTAAACCCTCCGTCCACATCCTCCCGGACGACTGTATCGACCTCATATTCTCCTACCTCTCCTTCGAGGAGCTGGTGGTGGTGTGTGGTGTGTGTAAGAGGTGGTACAATGGGTGCTTGTTCGCTTTCTCAAGGAGGGGTGATAAACTCTTCATGTTCATGTTTATGAAGTATATGAACACTAAATACTTTGCTGGGAGTGGGACAAGTCGGGCTGCTGTCAGGTGATCAGATTGAGAATGTTTACGTTTTTACCTAGACTGGTGTGAAAGGTTAAAGTTGTGGACACAACAAGAAAATTGAGAATAATCTTGTGCGAGGGTAGGGATATGGTTGGTTCGCTTGATGCGAAATTTATGAACGCTTTTTAGATATTCTATTGATTTTTAAAGCTTCAGCTAGTTTAAATTATTGTAAATATTGTGAATTGTAAAATAACCTTAAATATTGTGTGTGTAAAATAACCTTAAATATTGTGTGTGTGTGCGTGTGTGTGTGTGTGTGTGTGTGAACTGTGAAGGACACGTTTTTTTTTAAGTGTGGTGAAAATGACTTTGAGTGCCATGACACTTTTGACAATGAAAGTAAAATGACTAGTAACTAGAAAGTGTTGCACAGAAATGCCTTCAATCTTTACTGCCCCTGTAAGGAAAATCCATTAGTTAATTAATATGTCATAATATAGTACCAAGGTAGTGCCAGTTTTCAGCATTTTGGACTATAATGTTTAAAACGCCCGTAAAAAACTGAATTTTGCGACTTTTCTGTTCAAAATTCAGATTATGTCTCAGAATTATTCAAAGAATATTTGGATTGGGGTAGGAATACTTGAACTGTGCTCAAAATAAGCAAAAAGTCATTTGTTTGGTAAAATTTCTAGTTTGGTTGAAGGGGTTGTACAAGGCCCATACTTTCGATCAGCTTGTGAATGAACTGTAACAACTTTCAAGAAACGTTGGTCTGGAATAATGTAACCTAGGAAAAACCTATTGTGTGCCTGTATTCAGTAACAATTCACTCACAAAATTACAATTGAGTTTTTTTACATTGCAGTAGCTAGACAGCAACAAATTAGAACGTTTTTCAATCGTACTGTCGAGATTAAGTATGCTCAACAGCATTCTGTTCGAAAATCAACTTAAGAGTGTGTCAGTTTTCAGTAAAAAGTCATTTTTAGGTCAAATTCATCACGATTAAAAATTCAAAAGAAATGACTCTTTGCTGAATATTGGCACTATACAATTGATGTCTGACAGCATAAGCAGGTTCATCAAGATGATTCTTTACAAAATCTAACGATATTGTGTGTTCTAATTCAGCAAAAAGTCATTTTATAAATAATATTTTTAGCTTAAAATCTTCATAGAAATGACTTTTTGCTGATTATTGGCACGATAAAGTAGATTTCTGACAACAATATCATGTTCATCATGGAAATTTGGGACATACTATTGATGTTTGAAGTTCATTGTGCCAGTTTTAAGTTAGTTATAGCAGGTTATCACAACACTGCTTACAAAGCACAAATTTTATGTGATTTACCATTGGTATATGCCTAGAAAAAGAAGTTATTTTAAGCTGAATAATGGCACACAGTGCAACAAAATTGTGCCACATTAAACAAAAAAGGCACACCGCTCCCTCAAACAATATTCTGAACTAAAAGGAGTGCCATATAGCAGTAAGAATGACTATTTCTGTCAAATAAGTCACTTTTTACTGATTTTCAGGACACATTTGTTGTTTAAATTTTCAGGATATAACTAAACTAAGATTCGTATCTGCAACATAAACAATTTGGTGGTTTGACATGATTGATAATGCTGATATTGACTTACAATAGTTGGTAATTCCCACGCTGGCTGCAGCAGTCACTACAGCTGATTAGTGGCACTCTAATATTATTATCTGTTTTTGACCCCTTTATGAACACATTAATTTTCGAAATAGATGCTTAAACTAACACTTGTACACCCATGGATCAAGAAATAGACAATTTTTGTCTTTTTACATCATTTATCTATATGACTGATATGCTGAATTTTGGCACTCGGGACATAATTGAGTGTAAGCAGTACAGAGTTCAAGCCGTCTTTTAACTGATTAATGGCACCTTCAATCTAAAAGTCAATAAGGTGACTGAAAAAGAGAACTAAAATTTCGATACTTATTTCATCAATTAAAAAAAGATAAATTTCAAGCTGATACATGTGTGACTTTTTGCTGATGGCTCGCACATAGACATGTAAGAATAAGTTTAAAGACACAACCAAACATTATCTTATCCAGAAAATAGCACAGTCACGCCTTGATCTTTTTAATATTTTGACAAGAACCATCAATAGAGCAGTCGTATTCAGATATAAAAATGACTTTTTGCTGGATTCTGTCACTTACTGGAATTGCTAATAATGACTAAAATGCTGAAAACAGTTACTCGCTCCAATCTACTAGTGTTATGTGAACAATATATGAGCAAAATATGGCGAAATCAATGGACTTAGTCAATTGGAGGTTAAAATGGTTTGCTGATTTTTGGCACTCAGTTTAATTGCTCATAAGTCATATTCTGCTTGAGCCTGGCACTTCGTTTTTTCAAATCACAACTGCTGAATATTTTCACTTCATCCTATGTACAAATGTATGATTGCACTTTAAAAAGCATTGCGACTTTTTCCTCATTTTGTGCACTCTACTTTGAAAAAGGTGAAATCAGCAACTCACCACACTTAAAAAAAAACGTGTCCTGAATACTTATACTGACTTTGAGTGACTTATGTAGTAATCAAATAAAAATAGCAATAATAATTACTTAGATATCCTAAAAGAAATAACTGTGTGTATTAAAAGAGAGATTCCTTTAACGATGCCTAATGCAATCACCATGACAAGGAAGGGCACTACGTCAGGACAGAAAATAGACAGTTCTATCGAACAGATAATCTGATACTCATTTCGAGTTATATGAACTATTGCATGATCATATTTAGAATTGATTAATATCATATTATTTAAAATTTAATTTACGTCGTATTATAGGATATAGCTATCTATATATAGATTGCATGTTCATCGAACTAATTTATCGTACATATATTTGTTTAGCTTTAGACTTTAACCCAGGTAGATGTAGAGTTCTGTACACTATCTTTCTATAATAAATCTATAATAAATCTCCTTTCCCTAATAAGAGCATTTTTACTTGTCGCAACAACCGGGATAAAGATAATTTTACCCAGAATACATTACAACAATGCGACTCATAAATAATACTCCAATCCGGATTTTACATACATCTATAATAAATGTTGAACTTTTGTATATTATTATTGTTTAGCGTTTGCATGCAGTAACCTATAATTTTTGTGTTTTACTCAGAAATCAGAATCATCTCAAATTCAATGTTAATATTAGCGTGAGTATGCCACATTTTCTCATTATGTGGAAAATTTTATGATTTTAGGTATTGATTTCATTTTACTATCAATATAAAATCCTGTTTTCAGCCATGCCAAAACTTACCGATCAAACAGACGAGGAGATCCTATCCTTACTTGAGACAGGCCAGATAAAACAATACACCCTAGACCGAGAACTGGAACCTCTGAGAGCAGTGCAGATCCGACAACAGTTCCTTCTATCAGACTACCCTGATCATATCATAGATACTATCCCCTACAAGCACTATTCTAACTACGAGACTGCTACTAAAAGTTGCTGTGAAAATGTTATTGGTTACGTGCCCGTTCCTCTGGGTCTGGCGGGACCTCTTCTTATAAATGGGAGCGAGTATAATGTTCCCATAGCAACTACTGAGGGAGCGCTGGTTGCTAGTTTGTCTAGAGGATGCAGGGCTGTTAGAGAAAGGTGCTAGCTCTTGTTAGTATTGTACCTCGTTATTTTTCACGTTAATTTGTTATTTTATCTCCCCTCTCCAGTTTATAGGTCCATTATGGAACCTCCTCTTTGTGATTACGTTAAACTTGCTTAATTCTCATTAAACAAAGCAGATACCCCGTTGAAATTTCTGAACCACCAACTATTTTCAGTGGTGGAATAGACAGTACTCAAACCTACTTCGGGATGACCCGGGCTCCACTGATCAAGTTCAGTTGCGGCAGGGCAGCAAAGCAAGCTGCTGATTGGATATTAGAACCTGGTAATTTTGAGAAAATAAGGGCGCAGTTCGAGAGTACCAGTAGATTCGCCAAGTTGAAGTCGATTAATCCGAAGCAAGCGGGAAAGTTACTGTTTCTGAGGGTAGTAGCCGCGACTGGTGATGCAATGGGTATGAACATGATCAGTAAAGGCTGCGAGAAGATGCTTCAGTTTCTTCAAACGGTTGACGTTTTTGAGAACATGACTGTCCTTAGTATAAGTGGTGAGTTTATGTTAGACTCTTAGCGGAAAACTCTTACTGTGTAAACAATATTCCTTTTGTTCAATGATGAAACTTAATATACGAACCTGCAAAGTGCAAGCCCACTGCATCAGAATTCATCGATCTATTTCAGTTTTTCCCTATTTTATCATTAAAGACGAGAAAAAACTTCGTTAATTGAATAAGGTGATAGCCTCTAATGTTTTGTACATTGGAACATTTCCCCTCATACACCACACTAATCATTACTTGCTACGATTCAGGTAACTACTGTGTTGACAAGAAACCGTCAGCAATGAACTGGATAAACAACAGAGGTTACAGCATTTCCTGTGACGTCACTCTTAAGTGTGACGTCATCAAATCAGTTCTCAAGACATCTGCTGGAGCTCTTGCGGAGTTGAACTCCTCTAAAAACCACGTCGGATCCAGTCTTGCTGGCTGCATAGGTTCGTCTGCACTTTTGTGAAACTCTGAAAATTGTGTCAAGGATATCAAGGTCAAATACAATCAAGGCTCGACCGGAATCCCGCTCGTGGTTAAAATTGGCCTATTTTTGGAATCCCAGTCCCGATTAAAATTCGGCATTTTAGCCGGGACCAAACCATAATTTTTTCTAAATTTTTGCCCATTTTTGTTAAATAATATTGAGAAACTTTTCGTAGAAATGAATAAAAACACTAATTGTTTTAAAAACTTAGGGGGGGGGGGGGGGGGGGGTTCATGTCAAAAATTAATGGTTTATCGATTTTCTGTTTTAAGTGGTTTCATACACTTGAGACGATTTGGAATCTTGTGGTGAAATTCCCATGTCGATATCTTATTGGGAAGTTGCCAAAAATGGGCTTCAAAAGTTGGTCACATGGCCCAAAAAATGACCAAAATGACCAAAAATTAAACTTTCCTCAATCCATGTGAAATTCATGTCAGTTGTACTTCAAATGATTCTAAACAACGTAGTGAAGTCCGCATGTCGATATCTTCTCAGGAAAATACCCAAAATGGGTTTCAAAAGTTGGTATCTACCCGTCGGAAAATCACAAATTTTTATTGTTTATATAATATTGTGACTAAATTGGATTTAAAATACTTTCGAATCTAAATTTACGATAAAATCGTAAGCGTAAAAACCAACTTTCACCTGCTCTCAGTAAACAAGCATTATTTGTTTTAAAACACAACAAATTATTTTGTGAGTTCATATATAGTTTTTGTTAAAGATTAATTAAATTAGAGTTTTAAATTAAGTGGTTTGGCCAGATCACGATAAACGATTCACTGGCCTTACCTCAGGGTGGTATGTTGAGGGCCTTCGGGTCCAGTGATACTTTGACCAGAAATGTGTTTCACCGCACAACCCAAAATTTGGTACGTTTGTTTCATTTTGAACTCAATTATACAAGCATCTCGTCTATAAACTAAAACAAAACGTTTCTGTATGACATTCAGATATTTACCAATGTTTTCGATTGTAAGTGAACTAATATAATTCTTTGATTTCTGACAATGAGTATTAGTTATAGTCATGGGACCAAAAAAGCGCAAGATGTCTGGTTTTGGAAATCTTCCCCTGGATAAACGTGTTCAGAAAACTACACCCCAACCAGATCAAAGTCCTCAACCTCAGCCCATAGAAGTTCAAACACCTCCACCTCAGACCAGACCGACGACGCTAGAGGATACACCGACTTCCAGTATTGTCCATGTTGAGATCAGTAGTCCTGACTTGAGTTCCCAAGATGGTAGGTAGATAAAATCCCCAAATTATAGGTCCGTTTTGTAGTTTATTCCAGCTAATATTTGAGTACTTCATTGGTAATGTCAACTTTGATATTTCTAAGTGACTAAAAGTAATTTCCCATTTTCCAGAGGGTGCTGATAAACTGGAGGAACTGCAACTAAGAGCTCTGAAAAAGTCCACCTCCAGAAAGAAACTATACAACATTGTGTCTGGTACAGAGTCCCCAGAGTCCCCAACTTTAGCGAGGAAGGCAGTACTGCAAAGGTCAGCTGCAGTCAAGGAAAGCGAAGAGTCGGGTTTAACTGTTGTAATGTCCCAGGAAAGTTTGAAGGAGCTTTTGAACTTGTATCGTATAATCACTTGGACGTTGGTGGACGTAATAGGTAATCCCATTTTTATGATATTTAACCTAAATGATCACGAACATAAATTGATTAAAATAATATAACAATTATTATCAGTTTTCTTTATTGAACTCTAAATAAATATATTCAGATGCACGAAACCAATGAGAGAGTTGGAAGTTGACCAGAGCGCACAAACCACCTCCATCAGAGTTCACTGCAGCTGTAACCAAGTTGTCCAGGTTAGCGATTGGTCGCAACAGAGAATGCAAATGTCAATGAGGTGTCTGGACATCCATTTCGCAGGTATTATCTTATTTTTACTCTACCATCTCGTATCAACTTATCAACATCTATCTTTTAGTATTTTTGTAAATAACCTTACTGATCTATCAACAGAAATTTATGTTTACATCAGGTCTCAACAAGTTCAAAGGCCTGATGGGGATAGAGCACCAAGATTCCAGTTCAACATTCAAGAGGAATCAATCGAAGTTACTGTCCATAGAGTCGAGGAGCTTTCTCTAGCTAAGAATCAGCAGTCAACTTTGTACGTCGGTGAGAAACCTCGAATCACAGTTAAAATCGACGGAAGCTGGTCGAAAGCGGGTTTTACGTCAAACTTTGGGTTTGTTGTGGTGTTGTCCTCAAAAACTGGTAAAGCGTTAGACTATATCTTCAAGTCGAAATATTGCAATAGCTGCAATATGCAGAAAGACAGTGAGATTGTTTCCTGTGCCAACTGCTCAGTAAGTTCTTAGTAGATACTGCTAGTGCTATCGTTATATTCAGTCTTTATGATAATCAGTAAACGTACAATAAGAATTGCTCAATGACAAACGGCAATAGTGTCCAATTACAAAACTTACAGTCTAATCGCAGGCTAATTACGAAGGATCCAGTGGCGGAATGGAGGCCACAGGTGTTCGGGAAATGTTCGAACGGAGTCAAAGCTGGCCGGAAGGAGGGGTGGTGTTTGACGGAGTCGTACGTGATAGGGACTCAGATGTAATGTTCCATATCAGAATTGCGTACAAGGATTTGGGTCTGTGTGCCACTTGTACAAAACTACAGCATTCAGATGCAAAGTCTCCTGAATGGAAATCATTTCTGTAAGTGTGTTTTATGGCCTATCGATTGGTAATAGTTTTTTTTTTGCTTTTGATATAACCAAGTTCTGCACTGTAAATTAATAGTAAATTATACTTATAACAGGAAGAGCGACGAGTTTAAGCAGTGGGAGCTAGACCACCAGAAGGGTGTTGTCGGATGCCTGAGAGTCAACGATAACTACTGCGTGGAACACTGGTGCCGAAACCTCGGAGCTAGATTGAGGAATCACAAGTTCCCATTTGTGAATGTTCTGGTAGAAAAAAAGAAGAAGGACAAAATCGAGGTAACAGAGCAGAAGAATGCTTCCATAAGAGGGGCTGGTGGTCACCCGATGACGGGAGAGAAGTGCACCAGTTTGCAGATACAGGTCAAGAAGGTTGTTAAGAGCGTGACTGCTGAAACGATATCGGTCGAAGCGAAGGTATAAATATAATTTTATTATAAATATTTCGTCACAAGTCCTAAGAGGTCAAACAATGCATATTTTTTCTGTCTCGCAAGTACCTGACATCGGAAATATACAAGCTTACAACGACAACTATCACAGATGAAACGTTTGAACAAAGGGATCCGGGGAGTTTTCTTGCACAACTGCATGGTGACACCTCCTGCTCATCGTCACAAACTGTGCCCCAAAGGAAAGAATAGCTTTTGTGGTTGGAGGAGACAGCAAGCTGGTGACCTTTCAGAGTTAGTCTTATTGAATCACTAAACATTTTTAATCATATCTTAGACCAGCTGTTATTTGCAAAACATTTTTACCCCCATTGCACAGGAGAGGAATTACTGAGCTCTTTAAATCAGGTATGACGAAAAGAAAAAGACGCACTTGTACGGCGAGTTCTATCAATTGCTGCTGCCAATAATTGACGAATTCACTAGCGATCTAATGCTTGTGAAACTCTCGAAGGGTCTCCACACTGACGACTTGGAATCCCTCTTCAGCTCGGTTCACAGCCAGCATTCGAAAAAGAAGGTATAATGAGCCGATTAATCATTTGGGCTATAAATATAATCATTGTTTCAGAATTCAATTACTTGTGCGAGTAGTAATCATATAACTGTCTATTGTACCACATTTATCTTTTCAGTTCCGAGGTCCTGAGATTCTAAGAGGAGCTTTTGCACGAGGTGTCGTGCAAAATAACTCTGGGCACTCATACCTGAGGAAGATAGTTGAGAAGAACAGTTTCAAGCCAACCTTGTTCTTGACAAAGTTCATCGTCGAAGAAGACAAGAAAAGGATTGTAAGTGAGGAGACTTACATGGACAAGGAGATGATTGACATCGTAAAGACAGCAACTGGTGCTGCTGCTGCTGTTGACGATTCTTATAAATCGGGACAATTCGATTAGTGTTTTATTTATTATGACGTGGTATATTGTATTATGTTGTTCATTTATTATGTTCTAGTTGGCGGCCAAATTCCAAAATTTGCACTGCAAAATTCAGAATTTGGCCGCCGAATTTTTTTAAAGGCCTAACTCAAAATTCCAATACAAAACTTAAGGTCGAAATGCGATTCTACGTTGATTCTGAAAATTTCATGTAAAAATATTGAAACCCTATTGAGTTCTATTGTTTTGAGCGAAATCAGTTTTGCAAATATCGCGAACTGAGATATGAGCGATTTTGTTCATTTTTTGCGATTATTTGAACATAGAATCTACAGTTAGGTAGATATTGAGCTGATAATCATAGAGAATGTGTAGTATAGACTTATCTTACATATAAAGTTGGTTTCATTCAAAAATATTGATATTTGACCAATTTATGGGCAAAAATTGATCAAATTTGGTGCGTATGCCCAAATATGGTCATATGGTTTTTGGCTCATAACTCAGTCATTTTTTGTCCAATCTTGATGAAAATTCATAGACAAGTTCAGGGGACCACTAGCTACAAGTAAAGCACCTAAAATCTGGTTTCTGAGCATGTTCAAGGTATTTGGCTAAATTGGGCCTAATTTGGACCAAATATGGGCGTGGCTGCCCCGCGGGCACCTTTTGGCGGTTGGGGTCCGGGACCCCCTCAAAAGTTTGGTCACTGGTCCTAGTTTGTCGGACAACTGCTATCTCGAAACCAAGTTTCACAAAAAAATCAGGGTGAACCCCCCCCCTTAAGTTTAAAGCAAAATGCTTTCCCTCATCATCTGTAAATTCAATCTCACTGCCTCTTCTTCGGACTCAGAAATCATACTGTCGTTGCGTGAGTCGTCATCAGTATAGTATAGTCTTTGTTCAGACTGTTACGGGCCAGGTTACCAACAGGTGGGACTTGACCTGATCTATTTCGTAGTTTATTGCCCTTAAGTTGTATTTTAAAAACAAGTTCATTTCTACGACCGGAGGCTCAGTCTGTTATTCCCTACAACTTTTTTTCGCCACATTGAAACTAAGGGAGGAGGTGTACACAGATAGATCCGGAGAAGCTGGCTCAGCTAGGGATACAGATTGTTATTGTTTTTAGAAGCTGTTATCATTACATCGCTGAATGTACAATAAAAACTGATGATATATAATATCTAAGGTCACGCGGTAAAAACAAAAGTCATTTTTTATGGTTAGCATTAATCTCAATAAATAATGCATGTGTTATGCCGTAATAGGTAAAGTAGTCGCACATGAGGAGTATGTTTTATGCTAAAATCAAAATATAAAATATTATGGAAACACCATGTACGTTATATAAGATCAATATACTAAGAGTCATCGAATGAGATCGGCTGTGTGATAATACCAAATTTTTATTACAAGTAAAATTTTTCCTATACTAGCCGTTCCCGGCATATTTTTCTGGTCCCGGCCAAAAAAGTGGTTCCGGCCGAACCGAGAATACAATACAGCCCCCCCCCCCCCATATAGTTTGACAAAGCAGAACTAAATGTAATCTTCCCAGGTGGTAATAACGCACACGCTAGTAACATAGTGGCAGGTATTTACCTAGCAACAGGACAGGACATAGCGCAGGCAGGGACCAGTTCCATGGCAATGGTGAATATGGAATGTTTGGATCGGGGAGACCTGTATGTCAGTGTCACTATGCCTTGTATTGAGGTTAGTTTCCAAGTTAAGCTTAATTGATTCTCTTTTACAGTAACTTGGAATGGTTTCTAGATTCGGATACTGGTGGAGAGGTGAGACATTCTCTCGTGGGCACCAAGACCCAGCACGTCTAAAAAGTAAAATATTATTGATCATGATTATAAGGTTAATTTCACGTCAGGTAGGCACAGTTGGTGGAGGAACCTCACTGGCTGCTCAACAGAATAACTTACAACTTCTAACAAGTGCCCCGGACGTGAACATTAATGCTGCTTTGTTAGCTCAGGTAACTCTTTGTGTTAGGATTCCTCACATACTTTCTGTAAAAGTATAAGATTGGCAGACTCAGTCAGTAGTCAGTCCCTTCTGGACTAACCTTTACCAAAGTGTAAAACACGACTTTACATGTTAGATGATACTGCATTTCTCTATTGTATTTCAAACTAGTTTAGGTACGGTATGTTTCATGTTTCACTGTAAACAAAATATGTTGAATTCAGAGAGCTGTAAAATAAAGGGTTGATTGAGTTGTTCGTTTTTGATTAAATGATGGAATGTGACGAGTAGGAGTTCGTTAGTCGAGCATACTAAATCACTCTACACTCGATCTTCGAGATTTTTCTAAACGGGCCCCCGTCAGTTGAAACCAACTTAGAACGATGTATTTTCGGACGCTGATTCCGAATCACCCCCCCCATGCTCCCATGAAATAGGGTTAAAATGCTCCCCGGGCCAGATATTGGCGAAGAAAAACTGTCTCGATCAGGTGATATTAAATTTAAAAAGTCACGTGACAGTGTAGAGTGATTAATCATCATCCTTCGCAAGTGCCTTTAATTTTCCAACACCTTTTTTCCACAAATGGACAGAAACCCTCTCGTTCGTAGATTAGAGAGTTAGTCATTATATATCAACACTGCTGAATTATACATTGTCCTTACCTGCAATCAATAAATTTGCCTCGATATTTGATTGTTATCGTAAATCGCAATACAGTGTAACATTAACAGGACATATTATGACGTTGTCTAATGTCTACTCAACCATGACTTTCAGTGTATTTCAACTTCTAATGATTATACTGGAGTGATACTCCAGTATAGTAATATCTACTCCAGGTATAGTAATATTCCAGTACACAGAGCTGCGTGTCTGGTTTCTTGGATTCAGTCCAAGTTTTAACCCAACCAGGGGGTTATAATTACTGACGGTATTAGTGAAACTTGATACCATCTGTGTTTGTTACTGTACCAAGGAAGGTCATCATACCAAATGCCTATCTGTGTTGCTACTAATAGGGACACTCAGCCACCAACATTACGCCCCGGTAATAGCATGAAGCTCACCACCAACTACCGAGTAGATGTAGAAATATTTCTTGGTGAGGAGGGTGACACAATCTCTCCTCTGATCATGGTGCCGAATTATTGTTATTTCTTATTTTTTGAAATACGAACTCACGTGTAACCACGGTAATTTCCACCCGGACTATGATCCTTAGTGTTGTGATAAGTTCTTTAGTTGTTCCGGAGGAGGGATAACCGCTGTGAGCAGGACCTCTGTGTCCGCTTAGCAGCTGAATGCTGACTCCAGCAAGAGAGACATCACACAAACTTTAATCATTTTGCTAATGGTGTTTGTTTTGTAGTGTGTTGTTCAGTAGTGATACTTGATAATAGATAATATGACATAATATAATAAGCACAGGTACAATAATTCCCGCTCCTATTCCTATAAGAGAAATCTGCCTTACTGTTACCCACCTGGTGTACACAACTTATTATTGAAGTTTAAGTTTTTTAAAGCGTTTAGTAAATATTTTAACAATGCTTGTGTGTTTTGTCCCAGGTCACCATGTACTTCCTGCATATTGAGAGTTTACCTCATCAAGTTGTGTAACTTCCACAGTTACAGTTGTTCATGTACCTGACCTGATTATTGTAGTCTCAATGGATATGACCAGTGTGAATCATATTAAAGGTAATCATATTAAAAGCATCACCGAAATGCCCTTTCGAAGATGGGTGTAGGATACACGAACACTGCTTACACTTAACTATATAGGGTATATATAATACATTATATATTATACACTTAACTTATATACATTATAATACACCACGCACCATGTTTACTTTATGATTTAGTTTCCTCAATCTCCCCTATTACAGGTGGTATGTGGAGCAGTGTTTAGTTTCCTCAATCTCCCCTATTACAGGTGGTATGTGGAGCAGTGTTAGCTGGTGAGATATCCCTTCTCTCCGCTCTCTGTTCTGGAGACCTGGTTAAGTCTCACATGCAACTCAATAGAGCAGAGAGGTAGCGTAACGGTGGACTGAATATGGAGTATATAGGTAGCGTAACGATGGAATGTTTTGGTGAGGACTAGGGCTATTTGTTATTCTTATGATTTGTGTATGATTTCTTTTATTCAGACTGCGTGTTTATTTTTGTGAATATTGACCGTTTATCTGTGCTGTAAACGTTCTTCTCAAATGAGAATTGGAATACGCGACAATCGAATTTGTAGACAGTCTTGCGCAATAAAACACGTGTGCGCGCGTAGATCAGTTTCTGATGTGCGTGACGGACGAGAGAGTGCATGTAATGGAGAGTTCCTGGTGTGACCAAAATGAAAGATAGCTAGAGCAGCCGGCGCGGCATAGCCGAATAAATGTTTGAATCACAAAGGCTACTGTTAAATGATTAAACTCTACTGAAAGGGCCACGGCATCCGTATAATTGAAATAAAATCGACACCTAATTGGTCACTCACTTAGGTTTATAACTCATCACCCGTTCAGTCGCGTCGCTCACATATTACTTAATTACTAAGGAGGGGGTTCAAACTGAAAGGAAGGGGTAAACAATTGGCCAAAAAGTGAATACTGTAATGTGCGAACTACAAACGGCCCATTACCACGATACTTAATTAACTTGCTCTCCTCACCCTTTAATCAGAATCACTAATTATGCCAGCCTCGCCTTCCTCTGAATTCCATCATATTAAAACGAATCCGGGGTCTTTTAAAACTAATACGAGGTTGTCAGGTTGGAGCTTCATAGAGTAGCCTGCAGTCCTCCAGCGCAGGCCCCCCACTGCAGTCCTTCGGTGGCCCCCCCCCCCCCACTGCAGTCCTCTTACCTGGGGACCTCAGGCTATCGTGTTCATAATTACATATAGATTAGGCGCCCCCCCCCCACTGTAGTCCTCCAGTGGCGCCTCCCCCTGCAGTCCTCCAGTTCCCCCCTCCCCCACTGCAGTCCTCCGGTAACCAAACTGTAAGTTATGATTGCTATGCATGAACCAA